GTTGTTTTTTAGCAAAATTAACTCTATAAAATAGGTATCTTCATTTTTCTMAAAAATTAAAAATTAATTTTTCTAACTTTTTTGCCAAAAAATTTAATTAAATTAAAAAATAAAATACATGTAACCCTTGTCTATGTAAGTCTAATAAAAAAAAAAACAGATTTATGATATATTTATTATCTCAGGAAATATCACAATGGAAAATGGGATATTCTATACAGCATTTTTTACATTTCAGAAATATGTATTATAACGGTAACCAGCAATCAGGAAAATAAAATTTCCTGAGTAAGAATTTCTCAAAATACAGTACTTTGGTAAATATATTTAAGGTTTATGATTTAAAAAATCTAAATGAACAACAAACTTATTTAGGAGCAACAAAACTTTATTTAATTTTTAAATAGAATTCTAGATAATATAGTAAAAAAAAATAAGAGTGACTTATTATTATTATTCATGTTTGAAAGTGATAATATAACATTTACTAATGTAAATTACATTGTATTCAATATTTATCTTCAGTATACAACATAACTCAGTTTTTTTAATTTTCATTAAACAGTGGTTGGTTCTTTAATGGTTTTTAGCTTGATTTCAATTAAATAGTTATTGACAAGTACCTCCACTGGGAGGCTTCTACGCTCGCTCTGATATCTTTATCTATTTGTTTTTTTTTTTGTTACTTTCTATTACTTCCTCAGTTGTTCTTATTATTCTTTTTTGCAACAGATTGAATAAAACATTGTAGAAACAAAAAAAAATTATATTATTATTGAATTTTTACAATATTTCATTTGATAATCAACTAATTACATAAATTAAAAATAATATTATTATATTTATTCAATCAACTTCATTGAAAAATGCTRTGTGAATAAATTACTCTTTCTCAGGGATTTTTTGGCAATTCACAGAATCCACTGGTTTGTCATATTATAAAAATTGTATTAATAGTTTAAAAGTCTATAAACCCACCAAAAATATTGACAAAGATGGCTAAAATTATATACTTAGAATATTATTAAGTTTAAAAATCAATCAATTTTTTTCACATGCCACCATCTAATCATTATTATCTATTTCAACAATCACAAAAATTAACTTGCACGTTTATGTGTTATTTCATTATATATTAATAAATAATCATTTACAGACTCAGATTCTTTAAATCCAACTTTATGTAATATGCATAACTACAATGTTATCAATGTTCATATATGTTTAGTAGATAAAATATCAACACAAACTTCACATACTATCTAGTAAATGCTGATGATTTATTTATACAACCTTGTGTTTATCAATGAAAGAATAAAAAACAAATKATGGTACTGGTCTAGTTGACCCCCGTCCAGAAGGTAATTCCCCTGCCACACAGGTTTATTTGACACCCGCCATTTACATTCCTCATATTTTTGATCTTATAAAATGTATAATATACTGATAGACTGCAGAGTGCAGATAAAAAAAGTTTGAGATCATATACATGTGTTATTTGTGTGAAATTCTCTAATTAGATATTTTAAGAATAATTTTTGGTAAAATCTGTGCAGTAAAATTAATGATATAAGATAGGTATAATAGTGGGTGCCCTATATAACATGATGGAGTATTGTCCACCTGCATAATTTTTATTATACGTATTACCATTTATTTATTAATATTATATTATCATATTTTTAT